AACAGGTGTCTTTTTGAATTAACGATCCCTCTGGATATATGCCCAGGAGTGGGATTGCTGGATCATATGGTAAGTCTATTTTTAGTTCTTTGATGAATCTCCATACTGTTTTCCACAATGGCTGCACCAAACTGCATTCCTACCAACATATATATATTTTTTAATGGTGGCACTGGGGATTGAACCCAGGACCTCGTGCATGCACTCCACCACTGAGCTATACCTTCCTCCCTTGGAGGAATTTAGTTCTTAACTATTTCAGCCTAAACTGTGTGGTGTGTGTATATAAACTGATTTTCCTCTCACCCCTAGAGTGGTTAGTTAGCATCTGAAGTACTCTAATCAGGGATCTGCACTCTGGAGGGTGGTTACATAAACACTTCAAACGCCATCAAAATCTATGCTAGTGGGTTGAATGTGCTTGAGAGATGCCAGAAATCATCTTTCACTGGTGCAATAAGTGGTTTTCAAAATATGGAGTTGGCTAGAAAGATGATGTGGGCCCTCACATGAATGACAGGTAAGAACCAGACCAGGCCAACTCCCCGGCTCCCCTGAAGCAGGCTGTGGGCTTTTGGTGCCTGCTTGTAACTGTTGTATACTTGGCAGATTTTGGCCTTGGCCGTTTTTCATACCCTACCTACAGGAGGTAATGAGAGAGGGGACAAAAGGCCACTCATCTCCAGTGGCTACAAATATAGGAACCTGACAAGCACCAAAGGGACAAATTGGTTCAGACCTGTTCACAACAGGTGCCCATCCGTCCTCTCAGAAGATTAAAAGGAGGCCCTCAGCTTCCGTGGCCCAATTGACCCTTCAAAACTGAGCATGTGTTGGCTTCCTCCCCTTCTCTCTGTTGTCAGGCCATTTGCAATAATAAGCTAACATAAACAGAAATGAGCTTTAGGTGTGGTGGGCACCATTTCCCTATGGCTCCTTAGAGAGGTCTGGAGCCCCGGTGCCTTTCCCCCAGACCCAACCTCCCCCTCTTCCCCCTACAGCTCTGGCCCAAGATGGCACCCAGCATGGCATTTTTTCTTTACCTCAGTTTTACAAAGTTCCCCTTCTGCCAGAGTGATTCCCTCATAATCCTGCCTTTCCCCCCAACTCTCCAGGGTAAAGGATAGCTGTGCTGAGGAAATAATTTCCCCACTTTACATCAGGACAAACTGAGGCAGGAAGCAAGAAGATGGTTTATCCAAGATTACAGGTGGGCAGCTAATGGAGTCCCTGGAACAACTTGAAAGTCAGCTACCATAAATGAGTGAATGAATGAAAGGAAAGGAGGAGGGAAGAAGAGAGGAGCATTGGTGTCAACTGATGTTAGCATCTGGATTTGGCAGTGGCCACAGTTTGATTCTGTCTCAGTTCCACAGAGGGCTACATGGAAAGGGCTTTAAGACAGAAAGATCGTGGGAAGAAGATAACGTCTTAGACATCACAACCCTTAATCCCAGGGTTAAGTTTGGGGAAGGCCAGCCTGGAGGTCCACAGGAATTCATCCTTGGGGTAGGGCGGCGTGGGGAGCTGTGGTTGAGGGTACCAATGAGGAGCCAGGCTTCACTGGAGCCAGAACAGCTGCCTCTGATGATTGGGGACCAATGGAGGAGGTGGAGGAGACACCAGAAACCCAACCAGAGTTGGGGGGAGGCAGGCAGGACCTTTCTGGGCTGCCAGCATAGGGTGGCTAGAGCCAGGTAGAGGAGGCAACTTCAGCAAAGAAGGCTGGTGGGAGAATCCCTAGCATTAGATGGGAAACTGCTCTGCCTGTGAGCATCCCTGCCGGCTTGCGTATTAATTACCTGTAGCCCCCGAAGAATGCCAGGGTCTAGGGCTGTGGGGGTCACTTTCTCCCTGGAGCGGAAGAGGGGACAGGCTCATTCTCCTCCAGGCATCCATTCACTCTGCTGAGTACTAAGTAGGTACTAATAATAATAAATAGAAGAGCAATAAAAGTGAACGATAAAAAGCATTATTGGGACAATAGGGGAAATTGGAATATGGCGTGTATAGTAGATGATAGTATTGTGTTGATACTAAATTTCCTAAGTGTGTTGATATTAGGAAAATATGCTTGTTCTTAGGAGGAATATGCTGAACTGTTCAGGGGTAAAAGGTCACGACGTGTACAACTAACTCTTAAATGAAAAAGATATATCTATATACGCATATACATAGAGAGAAAGAGAGAGAAGAGAAAGTAAATACAGTAATAAGTTAACAATTGGTAAATCTAGGAGAAGAGTTTACAGGTGCTTAATGTACTGTTTTTTGCAACTTCTATAGGTTTGACATTTTCAAAATAAAAAGTTGGGGGGCAGGGAATTTGAGGGAAGAATAGTTGTCACTTACTGAACAATGATCGGATCCCCAAATTTATGTAACTCTATTATCTGATTTAATCCTCAAACCAACTCCAGAGGGAGACATTCTGATGCCCATATTAAAGATAAGGAAACTGAGTCCCAGAGAGGCTAAGGAACTCATCTGGGTTTACAGAGCTGGATTGAAACAGAGCCCAAAGCAAGGGGGAGGTCACGCAGAGGAGTGCAGTTGGGAGACCATAGGCTAACACTTTGTTGAGCCTTTCTGTGTGTCGGCAGTGTTTTAAAATCATCCATGCATTTAACTCATTTCATCCTCCCTTTCTAAAAGCTTTCTACTTTGTGATAAATCGTTTCAACGACACCAGTGGGAGGGAAAAAGTGGCACTGGAACCCACTGACAGAAGTGTGGGTTGGTGACTCTTCTTTGAGGGCAATTTGGCAGCATCTATTGAAATTTAAAATTCACATTGTATTTACACCCAGCAATTCCACTTTTAAGTACTAGACCTTAAAGATAGTCATATATATGGACCAAGAAGTATGTCCAGAAATATTCATTGCAGCAAGGTAAGTAATAGCCAAGGGAGGATTGGAAACATCCTAAATATCCGTCATTAGGAACACTAGGGAACCATTTTAAAAAGTAAGGCAAATGAACAAACGGAACAAAACAGAAACAGAGCTATAGATACGGAGAACAAACAGGTGGTTGCCAGAGAGGAGGAGGGCGGGGGAGGAAAGAAATAGGTGAAGGAGATTAAAAGGTACAAACTTCCAGTTGCAAAACAAATGAGTCACAGGTATGAAATGTACAGCGTGGAGCATATAGTCAATAACGAGGCAGTATCTTTTTATGGTGACGTAGCATAACTAGACTTTTACTGTAGTGATCATTTCGAAATGTGTAGAAATAGCGAATCACTGTTGTATGCTAGGAACTAACATAGTGTTGTAGCTCAGTTATACTTCAAAGACAAAGAAACAAACTCATAGAAAAAGAGACCAGATTTGTGGTTATCAGAGGTGGGGGGTGGAGGGGACTGGATGAAGGCAATCAATAGCTACAAACCTCTAGTTATACGAGAAGTAAGTACTAGGGATTTACTGCACAACATGACAAATATAATGAACACTGCTGTGTGTTATATATCAAAGTTAAGAGAGTAAATCCTGAGTTCTCATCACAAAGAAAAAAATTTTTTTCCATTTCTTTAATTTTGTATCTATATGAGAGGAGCTAAATCTTTTGTAGTAATCATTTCATGATGTGTGTAAGTCAAATCATTATGTTCCACACCTTAAACTTATACGGTACTATATATCAATTAAATCTCCATAAAACTTGGGCGGGGTAAGGCATTTCTAAGTGTGATGATTTGTCACACTTAGAGTCAACAAATGGCAAAGTCAGGACAAAAAAGCAAGGGATGCTTCCTTAGTGTTGAAATACATATGTACTTATGAATACATGAATACTTACGTGTGCATAAAATATCTTGAAGGAATACACACAAAAACTTACAACAGCAGTTGTGTTTGGGGAGGAGTGATCTGGGGGACAAGAAGAGGGGCAGAGACTTACTGTTTATTGTTCACCCTTCTGTATTATTTGAAATTTATACTATGTGCATGATTACCTATTCAAAGTGAGTGAATGCATGCATGCATGCATGCAGGAATGGATGAATGAAGGAATCTCCCTTACAAATGCCACAGGCTTCCTTAGGCAACACTTCTGGTGTTGAAGGGGATACCAGAGGCCAGTGTCCCACAGTCTGGGGCTGATCTATCCCGATCGTTAGGAGCTATGAATCTATTTGTAAGTTCAGCCCCTGAAGTCCCGTTGACGCAGTTGAACTTTCACCCTTGGCCTCCTGAACTACCTATTCCAGCTTTTCATAGTCTGGGTTCTCAAAATTGTGCGTGAGAATTACCTGGGGAGCTTATTAGCTGGGCAACTTCACCTGCAGAGAATCAGATTCAAAACTGGGGTGCAGCCAGGGGCTCTTTTACCACCGCCTGGAGTGAGACTTCTAAAGCTTCCTTGGAGAAATGGACCCTGGTGACGTCTGCCTTTCTGTTCAGGCCTAGACCGAGAGCCTGCAGGATTGGGGAAGAAAGCTCTGTTTTGAAACGCTGATCCTTCCCTGCAATATTCTCCAGACTCACCTTTACCCCATATCCAGCAAACCAAAAATTAAGTGCTCCAGTCCCCTCTGGGAGTAGGAGTGTCCTGGTGAGCTGAGGGACAGTAAGGGTGCCCCGCGAGCTGCCCGCAGGCGGTGTCCTGTTTGCCTTTCTGGCTCCTAGGCAGGCTCCTTTACAATAAGTAATGCATGCATATATACATACATACATGCATATATACATACATACATACATACATACATACGCAAGCAAGTTACCCTCTAGGGTGTGGTGAGGTATTTTGTTGGTTTTTTTTTTCCCAAATTACAAATTAGAATTTAGGTCTGCCAGTGGACAAGACTCTCTGAAATAAGAACTGCTCTAAATATCCGGCGTGACGGTTCCTGCACGACAAAATGCTGGACTCCCCTCGGGAGGGGTAGGGTCTGGTCTTGCGCCCCATCCTACGAGGGTCCCAAGCTGGCAGGGAGCTGAGCAGATCCCGGGGCGCCCTGGCTGCAGCCGATTCGGCCTCCGCAGAGAGCTCGGGGCCGGAGCCCGGGGAGAGCCCCCCCCTCCACCGGCCCACGGGACCCCGCCGCCCCAGGGACGAGCCGAGCGATGTGGAGAGGTGGGAGGCTGGAGCCCGCTGAGGTCATTTCCTGTGCCTCTCCGCGCGCCCGCCCCGCTGGACGAC